GGGGGGGGGGGGGGGGGGGGGGGGGGGGGGGGGGGGGGGGGGGGGGGGGGGGGGGGGGGGGGGGAGGTCGTGGGCCTCTCACAATAACACATCGCAGCCCCTCCAAACCCCACTTCTAAGCCCCCGGGTTCCCGCGCCCCAGGGATGCACTCACTCAGGCAAAGGGTCCGTGCGGGCCCCAAGCGGCTGCGGCGTCGGCGGGTGGCGCGTCTGTCGCTCGCTCAGTCCCGGCGGCCCCGCTCCGGCGCGTCCCTCCTCCGGCCCCGGCCCCAGCACCAGCAGCAGCGCCCCCACTTCCGGTTCCCCTGCCACTCAGGCAAATGCTTTCCGGAAGTCCCGCCCCATCCTGTCGGCCTCGGCGTGGCTCCTCTCTCCCTGCCTTCCTTCTCTGCGGGCGCTAGCTGCCAGCGCTCAGGTGTCCTGTCACGTCCAGCGAGGTTCCCCGCTTTGTTCTCTATTCTGCCCTCTTTTTTGCGTGTAGACTGCGCGATTTGGGCCTCTATCTCTCCTCCAGCTGCATCCCTCCATCCTGAGTTAATGTCCCTGCGGCGTGGAGATGGCAGTCGGGACAATGTGGCGTGACCTCACACTGACGCCATTCCCTTCCCGCCCCGCCAACCTGGCTTCCTTCTCCACCCCATGGAATAAACCGATTGCTGCAAGTGGGAGGGAAATGGGGCCCCAAGGTTAATGAGGCAGCTCCCTACGTTTACGAGTGGAATTTCTGTTTCTACGATGAGTGTACGGATTTTAGGTGACCGCCTCTTAAGGTGATACCATAGCGGGATGGCGACTCGCGGTCTTTTCCTTAGCGATCCGTCTAAACTAGGGAAAGACATACCTATACAAAGTCAGTATTGAAAAGATTCTATGCTAAATGCTATATAAATGCAGGATCTATCAGAGTAGAGAGGAGGGGCGAAAGATGTAGGCAGAAACGTTTGTGGAGCAGCGCCTTGAGCTGGCCCTTTTAAGGATGGTAGGTCATTCAGATCTCGCCGGGACTCGGCAGAGCCTTCCAGCGCTCTGCAAATCATCAGGGGTTTTGATTTTGCTGACAAAACCCGTTAAGAATACTACAAAAACCTGGGAGCTGAAAGTTTCAAGCTATATTAAATTATTTTTCTACATCACCTGTGCTGTCAAGTGGTACTAAATTTATCAGTCATATATAATCCAAAATAATTTTGTCCTCGTTTAAAATGATTTTTACATTGCTGACTTGCCTTGGAAATTCTCTTACAGATGTTCATACTATAGGGCACACAGTAGGTGCTCAGTAAATGTTTCTCGTTTTAAGTGTTTCAGTGAGAAGAATTCGTGTTTGGAGAACTCAAATGGGGATATAAAGAGGCAACTGAGAAATATATTGATAACAGAAGAGAAATAGCTTGAATTATTCTCCAGGGATCAATCCATTGAATCTGGTATTTCCCTAGTTTTTACACTCAGCACACTTTAATGTCATCACTACTTTAACACGCTGTCTTTCTTGCTATGTGGTAAGCTCCGAGGGAGCAGGGACCTTGTCCCATGGATTCCCAGCACCTGGCAGGCTGGCTGATCAGTAGTAGACACTCATCAAATCCTGATGAATGAGGAATGAATGATCAAGGGCTGAATGTGTGTCTGTGGAACCCATGGCCTATCTTTATATTTTCCTGTTTTTCAACCTTTTCATTAAGACACATAAACAAAGGAGGTGTGCCCCCAGGAAATACTAGACCTAGTTAAACTAGCCTCTGCAAATATTTAAATACATTTATGGCTCAGGCAGTTTTTAGTGTTTTGGCAAAATCTCAATGCCACTGAACCCTGACATTTATTAAGAGCTCGTCTCCTGAATTCATCTGTTTTAGCTTTCTAAATAATTCATTTTCAAAAATATGCAGGCAGTATCGTGGAAAGGACCCTAAACTAGGCTTCAGGGTGCCCTGTGTTCTTGTCTGAGGGCTATGGCTCACTTAACTTCTTCCAGCCTTTGTTTCTTAGTCTGTAAGACAAAAGGGGTGGACTAGATGGCCAGCCCGGTGCACACGTTCTGCTTTGGCGGCCCGGGGTTCGCTGGTTTGGATCCCGGGTGCAGACATGGCACTGCTTGTCAAGCCATGCTGTGGCAGGCGTCCCACATATAAAGTAGAGGAAGACTGGCACGGATGTTAGCTCAGGGCCAGTCTTCCTCAGCAAAAAAGAGGAGGATTGGCAGCAGATGTTAGCTCAGGGCTAATCTTCCTCAAAGAAAAAAGGGGTGGACTAGATCATTGCTAAGGTCCTTTCTAGCTCTAAACTTCCGCCCTACCCTGAGTTACATGCGGGAACATAATTCTGGTGGCATACACACCCTGTCTCTCTCCTCCTCACTTCCCACACGCAACCTCCCGTCCCCCTAAGCCCCATTCAGAGTGTATATTCCATACAGTCCTCGTTGGTGCTGGGAAAAATAACTTCTCTGACTGTGAGACAGATAGACTGAAAATTATCAGGAGAGCTTGCCCTTCAAGTTCTTTTTCCATTAATGATGATAGGTTTTATGACTCCATCCAGATTCTTTAGTCTGTTTTCTCTTGTGACTAAATGCCAAACTAAAGGGAGAAAATATATAAGCCCTGACAAAATTTGACTGATTGGAGTCCTCAAATGGGCTTGAGTAAACATGATCCAGTGTAAACCTAGGACTTTGAGAATGAGAAGTGTCAAAATACTGCCCAAGTGGCCTGGAATTTAGGTGACTGCTTGGCGTTTCGTTACTTACAGTAATAAAACCAGGAGATTTCAGAGGACTTGGCATTTCATACATGAAAGGAGCGGAGAAAAGCTATGTGGACCGAGAATGGACACGCAGTGTGAATTTAGGGAATTTCTGTGGGTAGAACACAAGGTCAGATGGTTTACAGAAAAAGAACTTTCAAAGTTTTGTTAATTGTTAAAACAACATTAAGAAATGTTTCCACAGGAAAAAAAAAATTCGCTCACATCCTTACCAATTAACACATTTTCATTTGCCTCAATTCCTTTCATTCAATAGCCATATATTCAATATATACTATATTTCTCTTTTTTTGTGTGTGTGCTGAGGAGGATAATTTTCCATGAGCTAACATCTGTTGCAAATCTTCCTCTTTTTGCTTGAGGAAGATTCGCCTTGAGCTAACATCTGTGCTAGTCTTCCTCTATTTTGTATGTGGGTCGCTGCCATCCATGCCTACCCAATGAATGGTATAGGTCTGAACCTGGGAACCAAATTGGAGCACGCCAAACTTAACCACTAGGTCACAGGGCTGGCGCCTATATTTCTCAATTTTAAGATCTTTGGGGTCAGGCCAAGATATTGTTAGAAATATAGTAAAGAATATATTATAACAACATTTTTGTTTCCACAACTGACAATTGTTAATGTATCACATCCTTATTTTTTTTAGCAACGTGTGTGTGCATGCACGTGTATGTTTTAGTATCATTACAAACTCGTGGATTGAAACATACTTGATGTGTTTCGTCCCATTGCAATTATTAAGCTTGTTGATAACTTGATTGTCCCATCTTTAGTGAGTGGGACCATATTCAAGTTGGCTCCTCGTCATTTTGACATGACGGAACATTGATCTTCTTTCTGCCCCTTTAATTTTTGCCTTTTCTACTATTTCATATAAATGGAATCATACACTTGTGCCTAGTTTTGCTTGTTATGAATAAAACTAAGATGAAAGTTCATGCAGAAGTTTTTGTGTAGACATGTGTTTTAATTTCTCTTGGATAAACATCTAGGAATGGAATTGCTGAGTCATATGGCAGGTGTATGTTTAGCATTATAATAAACTACCCAACTGTCTTCCAAAGTAGTTTATCATTTTACACCCCTACAAACTGGGTGAGAGTTCCGGTTGCTGTGCATCATTGACAAAACAGTATTTTCAATCTTTTTAATTTTAGCCATTCTAGTGAGTATGCAGTGACAGCTCATTATACTTTTAATTTGCATTTTCCCGATAATTAATAATATTAAGCATCTTTTCATGTTCTTTTTGGCCATTTATATATCTTCTTTCATGAAGTGGCTGTTCAATTCTTTCGCCCATTAAAAAAAAATATTAGATTGTTTGTCTTCCTATTACTGAGTTATAAAAGTTCTTCTATATTCTGAATAAAAATCCTTTGTCATATATATGTATTTCAAATATTTTTCTCCCAGTCTGTGGCTTATGTTTTCATTTTCTTAACAGTATCTTTTGAAGAATGGAAGTTTTAACTTTGATAAAGTACAATGTATCTTTTTTTTCATTTATGGTTTGTGATTTTTGTGTCCTATCTGAGAAATCTTTGCCTACTACCAGTTATGAGTCTCTCCTATGTTTTCTTCTAGAAGTTTTATAACTTTAACTTCTGCATTTCAGTAATCCTTTTTAAGGTAACTTTTATGTACGGTGTGAAGTAAAGGACAAAGTTAATTTTTTTGCATATGAATATCCAATTGTTCCACCACTATTTGTTGAAAAGATCTTTCTTTTCTCTATTGAATTATTTAGCCGTTTTGTTTAAATACAATTGACTGTATATGTGTGGGTCAATTTTGGACTCTGTATTCTGTTCCATTGATCTCTACATCTATCTACACTAATACCAGACTGTCTTAATTAGTGTAACTATATAGTTACTCTTGAAATCAGATAGTGTGAGTCCTCTAGGTATCTTCTTTTTCAAAATTGTTTTGACTGTTCTAAGTCCTTTGCATTTTCGTATAAATTTAGAATGAACTTCTTGATTTCTACAAAAAGGCTTTTTGAAATTTTGATTGGGATGCGTTAAATCTATACATCAGTTTAGGGAGAAGTGACATCTTAACAACACTGAGTCTTCTGATTCATGAATAGTGTTTATTGTGCCATCATTTTAGATTTTCTTTAATTTCTCTTAGCAATAGTTTGTAACTTTCATTGTATGTCTATATATTTGATAAAGTTATTTAAGTATACATAATATATCCTTCACATTCGTAAGAACATTTTTTTGAGAACTACTCATTTTTTTTCTTTGAGGAAGATTAGCCCTGAGCTAAGTGCTGCCAATCCTCCTCTTTTTGCTGAGGAAGCCAGGCCCTGAACTAACATCCGTGCCCACCTTCCTCTACTTTATATGTGGGATGCCTACCACAGCATGGCTTGCCAAGTGGTGCCATGTCCACACTGGGGATCCGAACCAGTGAACCCTGGGCTGCTGAAGCAGAAGGTGTGCACTTAACTGCTGAGCCACCAGGCCAGCCCCAAGAACTACTCATTTTTGAGAACCTCACAGTAGCATATAATTTTCTGATGAAATGTACCTGAAAATTTTAAGCAATCACTTGAGATATCTGTAAGGAATATACCAATGTGCTTGAGGAGGAGTTAAGAACCCCAATCCCAGGCCAAACTACACGTGCTATCTAGGCACCTGGGCCTCACTTACTGGGTAGTGATTTGCTTTCATTGTCACCAACCTTGAAAGTAGTTTCATTCAAATTTCTACCTCATTAAAATTACAAATCCTTATATCATAGATTTTC